TGAAACACAATTGTCTTTGCTTCAAGGATACACTCCCTGTTTCCCCACTGGACGTCTGCTTCCCGACGAAAACAATTAAAGGTAATGTGTAGAAAGGGGAAGCAACTCTGTTTACGCACGCATGTGTTACCATTAAAGAGCTTCGCTCGGTCGCCTTTAGCGCCCGAGAGCTACGCTCTTATAATCATATAACAAGTCCCTGGGGAAGCAGCTCTATGAAAAGCATTATTTAAAGAGTTTCCCGGCACTATTATCGACGCTAATTTTGTTTTATTTTCTTAAAATTAAAAACAAATAAATTCAAAAATGATAGCATTGTTTGACCCTCTTTTTTTGTGCACGAAAGAGCGCGAGACGTCAACCTTTTGACAGACAATTTTGAAATGTATGGAGGACAAACCCATATTGCATTATGTTTATCATAAAAACGAAAATACAAGCAATGGCGTTAAAGTTAACTCGATTAAAGCAAAAAGAAGAGGCATCGCAACAATCTCTATCGAGATTTCCAATGATGGAAGATTACTGTGATTACTGTGAATAAACTGTTAAGTTGTGGCCGACATACTGGTATAGCGCACCGTGATCATTTGGTCTGCGACAGGCTGTGACATCTATATATGCAGTTTATTTCTTTAGTATCTCCTTATATGTAAGAATTTACATGTGTGATCTGGATCAGGGAGCCGTATATATGCTCTACTTGTTTTGTGTCCATATGTCCGACAAACATTTATAGCAGCATAATACCTGAATACTACAGTATATATATTGCAGTACCCAACGCAGGAATTATTTTACTCATTCTATAGGCAACTGGGGCGAGGCCAAAGAGCGAGATGCCTTGCTTGAACACACAAAAACAGTCCTTTATCTTGGTTTGTCCGACCATGCCATTCATCGCCTATCGAACCAACAACTGATTATCACGGCAATTATCAACCACGCGGCACTGTCTATACGCCGATACACAGGTAAATTCACCAAATTTTCAAACAGAAAAACAAAACAATTACACTTTTTGTTGCATTCCATTGTTTGCTTTCATAAGACCCTGTCCTGGACCCGCTCCTAAATGAACCCATACCGAACAAGGGCCCTTGGACACATTAATCTTTGAATCAAGATATGGCGAAACATAGAGCAGATACAGGTAAGTCACCTAGATAGTGACCTAAACGACCTCTAGATAAGTACTCTTCCAAGAGACATACATTGTCATATCTCGTTTTGTTTGGTGTCCTACACAACACGAACACACCAGATAATGATGTGACCCGGCTGTGTCTCCACACTGGTACGTGTGTCTGCATCTGGTAGATTTTATAATGATGGACCGTGTACGATTTCATAAAGATATCTCAGTTCGGACAATAAACTTGGTGATGTAAAATTTGGTAAAGTTAGGCTAGCCCTATCAACTCAACACTTAGCGGAGAAAATATGCCCCAAGTATCGAATTATACTCAACAATGGATTTGCAAAATATGCCTAATGTTGCGATAGAAAAAATAAATACAACATATAAATATTTTAATATTCTGATCATTGCATTATGCAAAATCTTTACAAAATGTTTTAGTTTGAAAATAGAATATGCATTAAACTATAAGGAAGTGCACTTTTTTTTTAGTATTCAAGTATATAAATGCTAGTATTTAAATGTGTAATGAAAAAATTGTATACAATACCATTGCATAGAAAGAAAGAAACAAATAGGAAGGAAGAAAAGAAATGATTTGTTCATTTTTTACAAATGGTTTTGTTTGGTTGGTTGTGTTGTCATCTAATTAATAGCTATGGTCATTTAAGGACGTGCCAGGTTTCGCTGGTGGAGGAACACCGAACTACCCGGAGAAAAACCTCACACATGCGGTCAATATTTCTACTATCGGGAAGTGATGCTCTTTTATTACATACGAAGAGACCGGTTGCAAGCTTCCATATACCTTCCGCAGTTCACTGATACGACTGACTGACCATATGATGGCTATTTTACACTTATACGTATGGGAAATAGCAATGGACCAACAGAGGTACAAGTGATTTAGACGTTTTATGATTCTTTTATTGTCGAAATATAGTTATTTAAAAAAAACACCGGCCTCTGAAGTTTAACATGTACGTACAATTGTATAGATATCAAACCCTGTACACTCGGGTATCATGTCAGCTGTAACACAACGGAGAAAGTTAATTACGGCAAAAAGGGGAATTCCCATAATGACGTCGTAAAGATGACGTAGTTTTACGCACGTCTTTTACTCGTGTTACTGTACAGAAAACTGATGACGGCGTCAGTTCTGACGATTGTAAACAAGGTGCTGTCAGTTAGGATACCATCCTGTCGAAATGAAACTTTTATAGGTTTGTGTGAATATCAACCGAACACACTTGGCATGAATGCTAAACAATGATCAGCGGTGATAAAATTACAAAATAAACTTGACTTGCATGTGTACGACAGCAGTATACTATTATTGTTATGTTAACGCATTAAGCATATGCACGTGACCACGTGTGTTATTGCTTTAATGCATCATTTTATATATAATTATAATAATATCACTTATGAGTCAAGCGAAGAGGATCCTTAGAATGGGACCTGTCCTGGAAAATATCATGACGCATATATTATAAGAAATACATGCAAGTTGATACTTTTTTAGTCAGATTAGGTTTGTCGTCCTTAAAACACCAGCATGTGTTATTCTTGTACAACAAAGCATTCTCTGTTCCCCAGCCCTGTAACATAAATGCATGTTTTGTCTGGGTTCAGATATATTGACACACCCGGTTTGCACATGTACGGCGCACCGTTAAATGCAATGCTATTCTACAGATATGAAAGAAAACACCAAAGTAGAATAATCGTGTACAATATAAACATTTCTCAAAGGATTAAAATAGTCGGCGACTTCCCCAAGCACGAGCATTTGCAATATTCTGACTGAGCATATCCTGCAAGTACTATCATCATATCTTTATTTCCTCCAAAATAATGAAGAGCAAAACTCGTTTTTATTAATATTTGTACGAGGGTTAAGGAGACAAAGCTTCCTCTCCTTTCATACATGTATGTAGGGACACGAACATATACAATGTATGTAAACTTGATAATGATAAAGTTATCACGTACTAAGTCGAGCACTCGAGATAACTAATGTAGAAAATCACACTGTGCATGTCCTAAATGTACCACCGTACATGTTTGCAGTTAGCAGATTGTAAAATAGTATTGCATAGCATTTGAAATAAGCCTACAAACTGGATTTTATCAGCATACACTGGTCTAACAATTACGGATATAACATTACTTCCTTTTTCTTGTCTGTGCACATGCATATGGCTAAAATGATAATTATTGCATCAACACTCTTTGATGTATTTGTGGGTCTAACAAACATGCCTTTACATAATTCAGTTGAATTTTCCTTTTTATCAACAGTGCCAATTAAGATGGTTTTGAACAACTACACGTCATACAGTGCAATCCCAATGCTGATACATTATTCATTTACTTAATAATAATACGACTTTGGTTTAAAACATGAAAGAGATGTATCAGACCGGTAGAGTGTGAACACGTATTGGTCATTCGTTTCTTTGTTAACTTGATTGGTTACCAATTTACATCATTTCGGAAATGGGGAATAGACTGCATTTGTTACAGGAGGGGAAATATACAGCCAGACCGGGATTCGAACCAGGAAGCTCCGAAATCTAGACGAACGCTTTGCAAAATTGACCTCTGGTCGCCGGCGATTGACCCAGTCATGATACGCTTCATCCATCCCTCCTATAATTGCCCAAGTCTTCGCCCCTCGAAGATAACATTATTTACGACCCAATTTCGCGTATCCCTTTAAATTATAGGACTGTAAACAAAATGAAATTTAAACCTAACAGGTATCCCTTTTCTGAGCGAACACCTAGTAGTAGAAACTAATGTTGGTCACGGGCAACACTGTACTACTGTAAGAAGAGAGGGCAAATGCACAGCCAAACCAGGATTCGAACCTTGAACTTCCAAACTTTAGAAGGACGCTCTAAACGCGAACTACTTATAGTGAACAGCGACCGACCCAGTCCAGTTCCGTAACATTTATAACGTATACATCCAATTTACTGCTGAACTGCCGAAAACAAATTGCATGGTATCAAAACAATCTATAAGAAATGCAAGTTATGCACGATGAATGCTATGTATCTACACCTATTTATATACTTATGTGCTCTTCGTAGCATATGTACTCAATGCTCTTATATGTTAATGGTATTAATAGTACGTCCTGGTTAAGCGATTATCACAGGGACATGAGAATAAATTACAGGGTGTCTGTTTGAGCCTGTCCTAGTGTGAAGTGATTATCACAGGGACATGAGAATAAATTACAGGGTGTCTGTTTGAGCCTGTCCTAGTGTGTAGTGATTATCACAGGGACATGAGAATAAATTACAGGGTGTATGTTTGAGCCTATCCTAGTGTGTAGTGAGTACTCGTATTAAAATACGCTACCCGTGCATTTTATCATAACCCCTAAAATGTCTGACAATGCTCTCCATGTATCAGAATTTAAAGATCAACATCAAAACGTGGATAATGTTGTAACTTACATGAAGCCTAATTGCGAGTAATGGCTGCTTGCCGAGTACTTTAAATATAAACTCACATATTTACATAAAATGAAATCCACACATTTACATTGTGGAGGGGATTATGACTTTGCCAAACAATGACGGCACGTTAACCCGTGAAAGATTGACAATCCCTCAGCTTGCTAGCAATTTAAATTGTATATGAAACGCCCTTTTTCATATACTAATCTGTAATATCTATATATATATTATTTTATGATCATTTTGTCATATTTCGAAAGATATCCAAGGCAGTGAATAATAATAATAAAAAAGCCCACAACACTTCCAGTGCCTTACTCAATAGCATTTAAAACAATGTATAATTGTGTTTAATTTAGTTTCGGTGTTTACGTACTCACCCATAATGTGTTGTTAGTATAGGGCGTCCGTGGTGTCGACACGTAGGACAGACCTACTGTACTGTTCTGGAAGACTCGCTATCCCGACAGTTATACCGCACACGTGTGTAGCGACACACGGAGATATCCGCACTGAGCCGAGCCAGTGAGTTGGGGCAGGTAAGGTGAACAGCTACTACGCCGAGCAAACAGTGGTAGCGAAACTTTAGTCAGAACTGTATAGACGTTTAACACATGTGTATGTAAAGGATATAAGCCGAAAACTGTCTATTATGTAAAAAAAAAAATGGACAGTGTGAGGCGCGTAGCGCCGAAGACTGTCCAATATTTTACATAACAGACAGTTTGAGGCTTACATCCTACTTAAAACACAAACACAATATTTGTTTTAATATTGGAGAGTTTCAATATCTGTTCAGTATGTGCAATCAACCACGAAGGCTATTGATACAATAAAGGACAGTGGTTTCCTTTAGCATACTTTGCATGCTTTTGTACAAGTGCAAGCATTACAGGTGTGTGAAATATGCCCGAGTAGAATTTAGTCTCGTTTGAATAATGTCGTCCAACAGTGAAGGTGCGTTTCCAACACAGTCCCTGTGCAGTACATTTTTAGCATCAGCATTCAGTATTGAAATGGATTAAATTCAAATGATTCAAAATGATTTATTGAAGAAAGTGATTACAGTATATTTCTGGGATAGAATTAAACCCCACAGTTAAAGTGAGAAAATTCAAGATTTCAACACCACCTCCAAAATATTTTCATCAAAGATATATCACAGCTATATCTGGGATTATACACGAATATGTCAAAGGATGATACGAAAGAAATGTTGTGCACATAAATTGTGTGAAAAACGCAAGATTTCAACTGCCCTCAACTCTAAAGTGTTATTGCCAAAATTACGAATTCAAAGGAAATTACAATTAATGCTGGAAATGTGGTTCTTAGTAAAGTGTTTGGAAATGTATGCATCTATATGGATGTTTCATGTAAAAAGAGTGTTCCGTAATTCAAACCTTCTTTCAAGGAAAAAATATAGTTGATATAGTTGTCGACACCAATGGAAAGCTTCAGGTAGCTTCTAATAATACTCGACTTCCGGTGCGTATTGATATAGAGGAATTAAAATCCAGAAATCTTACAGTTAAAAGGTGAGTTAAGATATTAAATGATCTGACTGGATCTTGCTGATAGCAGGAGGCATTGAATTTACAGGGGTGTTCAGACCAAAACTTGTTGAGTCTGTGTTTAAAACTATTTACACTAGGTACATTTACCACATGGTTTGACAGACTATTCCAGGACTCCACAACCCTGTTGCTGTAGCTGTAACTGCTTAATTGTCTGTTGGTTCTCTTTTTAAACAGCTTTTTGTTGTTCCCTCTTGTTCTGGAATCCTCACTTTGCTGTGATCTACAATGTCTATTCCCTCTAGTCTCTCTAGGATCTTGTATATTTGGATCAGGTCAACTCGGTGTCTTCTGATGTACTCTAAAGTTCTGAGTAGGGTTTGTTTGCTAGACTGGGAATTAGACGAGTTGCCCTCCTTTGTACATTTTCCAGTAGTTTGATGTCTTTTAGCAAATAAAGAGACCAGATAAAACTTGCATATTCAAGGTGTGGGCAGACGAGAGATTTGTACAGTGATAAAAACATATTTTTGTCCATAAATGTAAAGGTTCTAAAGATGAGACCTATGTTCCTGTTGGCTTTTGCTACAGAGGTTGATATGTGATTTTCGAATTTTGCCTTGCTGTCTACAATGACTCCGATGTCTTTTTCACTGCCTTCTGTACATATATTGTGTATCTGATCATCCTGCTTGATAGTGTAGTGGTGATTGTTCCTCGTCTGTCCAATGTTGTGATGTTAGAAGTTGTCCACGTTGAGTTTCATGAGCCATGTGACGGTCCAATCACAGATTGAGTTAAGATCTGACTGGAGATGATCTGTATCATCTTTGCTATTAATTGATTTTTGAATCGTCTGCGAAAAGTTTTGTAGTACTGTGGGACCCCGCTCGTGACGTTTATTGAACTTGACACTGAACCGTTCAGTACCACTTTTTTGTTTTAGGTTCTTCAGAAAGTCTTCTATCCATTTGAGGGTTTCGCCTTCAACACCGCAACTCAAGAGTTTATGTAGTAGCCTTCTGTGAAACACTTTGTCAAAGACTTTGCTGTAGTCTAGGTACACTACATCAGTTGTCTCCCCTTTGTTTAGCCCTTCCATCCAATCTTCTAAGGATTCTAGTAATTGGGTTGTACATGATCTATCCGGTCTAAAGCCGTTTTGGCAGTTCGTAAAGAAGTTGTTTGTTTCCATGTGTTCGAATAGTTTGTCCCTGATGATTCGTTGTAGAATGTTGCTGGCCACTGCAGTTAGGCTTATTGGACGATAGTTGTTAGGTTTCTTTTTTGAGCCACTTTTGTGGATAGGTGTTACATTGGCCTCCGTCCAAGCATTCGGTAATTTTCCATCTTGGAGTGATTTTTTTAAACAGTTGTGATAATGGTTTCTTCATTTCTGATACTGCCTCAACGTATAGTTTTGGATGTAGACCGTCAGGCCCAGGGCTTTTGTTGGGATTGACCTTTTGTATTGCCCTTTGAACAAGCTCTTCAGTTATTTCAATCCTGTTCAGTGGTGTTTGGTGTTTTCATAGTTATGTTTGGGAGTTCACCCGTCACGTCTTCGACAAAAACTGAGGAGAAGTAATTATTCAATGTGTCAGCAGCTTCTCGGTCAGATTGTGTGTGTTCTCCATTAGTTTTTTCAAGTCTGTTAATGGTTGATTTTGTTTTCCGTTTTGATTTCACATACTTCCAGAATTTCTTTGAATTGATTTTAATCTCGTCAACCAGTTTGTGTTCGTGCACATAGTTTGATCGCCTGCTGTTAGCTGTTGCCTCGTTTCTTGCTTGCTTGAATTGGTTGGAAGTTTTCCATCTGTCTTACAATGTAGGTATTTTTTCCATTTTTTTATGTTTCCTGTGGATTGATTCAATAGTCTTGTGATCGAGTGGTCTCTTGGAGTTACCTCGGAATTGCTTGCTCTCTAGTACATGTTTCTTAACAATACTTGATAGCTTATCAACAAAACAGTTCCAAGCTTCCTCGGTGTTGAGACAGTTGTCAAATTTAGACCAGACGGCTTGTGCAAGATCCTCTTCTATTGCAGTGTAATTACCCTTATGAAAGTTTCAAGTTTGTTGTGCATTTGATGGCTCACTTTCGACATAGCAGTTATGTTTAAAATACATGGTGATGTGGTCACTCTTCCCTAAACCGGGGAGATATGTTGCATCGTTGTTGTTTAGCATATTTTCTTCATTAACAAGTATGATGTCGAGCAGGGAGGGTACATTTCCTTCCCTAAATCTGGCCGGTTTGTCGACACATTGGAAAAGAGAAAAGTCCTGTATATTTTTCAGAAACATACATGCTGACGTTGACTGAGGTATTCATGGTTTCCCAGTTGATCTCTCGATAGTTAAAAATCTCCCGACTGTTATTAAATGTGATGTTTTTTTGTTAACTACTTTTTTTAAAAATCTATTAAGATGGTCATTTTTTTCTTGGGTACTGTTTGGACTACGGTATACACAACAAATTATCAGGTAACTTATTGGACAGCTACAGGTAACTTATTGGACGGCTACAGGTGATGCCTATGAATTATGTTGGATAAAGTACGCAAATAACAATGGATGACATTACAGCTGTGTTTTAAATAACCCAATATGGATCATTCAAAAAAATAATATTTGTGAACATGTGAGTGCGAAACGATAAACCGTAATAATGACATTGTTCAGTACGTCTTCAAGAGGATCTATTATAGTTATAAGATTCATTTATCGGATTGGAGTAATGCGTAATGTCTACCTTTTTCCAATCATATATTATGCCATCAAACACATACAACAGCACTTTCTTATGCAATATAGCCGTATGCACGTTTAGTTTGGTTTGGTTTAATTTTGCTTAGCGTCCTATTAACAGCCAAGGTCATTTAAAGACGTGCCTCCATGTTTGCAGTGTATACATGCTTGGGTGTGTGAATGCAGGAGACAGGGTATGTCGGTATGCTTACCTCCTTGCATTCTCGATATCGAAAATTGAAGGCACGAAGATAGCGGTTTGATTGGTCTCGGGTTAAAAACCCTGACCAATCGCTAGGCTGATACATGTCCTTTAAAGATTACAAAGGAGAGACGCCCGACCTCAAAGCCTGTCAGTTTTTACCGTTACGTGATCGCGAGATTCTTTTGATGAACATCAAAGGATCGAACTAGTCTTCTTGTCTCATCAACAAGGATACCTCCTTGCACCGAGTTTTCAATTTTGCTATGATATATTCCAGGGGTGGAGAGAGCGAAAGTGAGCGTAGCCACTGGATATCGAGGATGACCTCCTTGTGATAGCGCGGATCAGATGCCGACTTTATAGTGCTATCTCACTGAAATGCCATGCCGAAGGCACCAAGCACAGCATTCCGCCCGGTCACATTATACTGACAACGGGTGAACCAGTTGTTGCCATCCCCCTTAATGCTGAACGTCATGCAGTGAATTACAACCCCCATTTTTAAGCAGTTTATTTCGAGCCGTAATGAAGTCAGGAATAATGTTATAACACATGTGTTTAACGCCTCTCTCTTACCAGGCTTATGCGATATGATAACAATCAACTTCCTTTCATTGATAGATAAAAATAAAACCCAGGATTAAAAACCTCAGAGAAAAAAATTAATAATAAAATAAAAGTAAAACAAACTCAGGAAAAACTTGGGAAAACCTCATGACTTTTCCCCAATAAGCAGTTTCTCATTTCTTTAAAACATATACAAGCATACATATGTATACTAAACCAGGAATCGTTCAAAAATCTACAAGTATTAAACTTTCGCTGCAAAACCGTCTAGACGGCTTGCGGTGACCTTTAACGCCCTAGTCCTTTAACCTAACGAAAGAAAATCACTCAAGTGTGTTGAGGCTGACGTCAAGTAAATATTGAAAAGGCGAAGATAACCTATAACTGTCACAAAGGGGTGTGTCACATTATTGTAGACACTGTGTCATGCCGCCTTGCCATATGGGAAATCCCTGGAATGGAATGAAAGGAACGAGTGGATTGGTCTCCAACTGGTCTTTCCCACTCGACATGTCTAAGTTGTTTTACCAATTCTGCATAGCTCGCAAATATAGCAAAACGCGAAAGCCCTTCCTCTACAGCAGAGTGGTAATCCACCGCGGCAACGATAGCGGCCTGTCAAGTCTATTTTTTCCAGTATATCTTAATACTAATGGAACATTTTCAGCGCTCTGTGTTGTGCAATGTATATCTCACTAACAAGAATTTCAATGGTTTTATTTGCAGTTGCTTTTAAGATTTGATATAGGAAATTGATAGACTTTACCTTTTCACATCTCTGCTTTACAGGATCGAACGGTGACCTCTTGCTTTTCTTTATCCACAGCCCTACCGTGCAATATTTTTGTGATGTAAATGCTTTTTAGCAACAATATTGGATTTTTTTAAAAAAAGTTTTATTTTGCATATGATCAGCAACCTAGCGTTATCTTGCACTGTACGAGTATGGAGGAAATGATAAAAACTTTACAGGGGGATAACATTTAGTCCCTTAATAGAGTAGAAAATTGGCGATATTCTAAAGGATTTTCCCCTATTAACCTGTTTTCTCATTAGGACTATTTAAAGACTACTGTTAACATTGTCAGCTAATTTTATTCACAGCTAGCTTGTTTGCTTGATTATTTGGGTCATAAAGCACTCACAACAGCTAATAATAAATAAAAATATACAACATTTATATAGCGCCCTTTATTATTTGTAAAACTACTCTAAAGCGCTTTAAAACATATGGATAATAACATCAGTTATAATTGTTAAACAAAAAGGCTTACAATCACCATTTTACGTTAAGCAAGAAAATAATCATCTCAATGTGCGCATAAATTAAGAAATAGAGGGCGTCTGTGAAAAGAGCCTTAAATGCAGACGTGAAGATGTGATTTTTTATGTCCTTGCATTTGGCCAGGGTACTTGACTTTCTAAAAGCAGATGGTAAGCTATTCCACAACGTGGCCAAAACCTTCTAAAAGCAACGGTTTCTATAGGTCACAGTACGAGATTTTGGGAAACACAATAATGATTCTGTCTCCGACTGCAGTGATCGTGACGGCTGATACAGGGTAACAAGCTCCTGTATGTACTGAACATACAGCTAAGGACACATGGCTGTCCGGAGAGGCTGCTCCAAAAGAAAAGAGTAGGGGATTAGGAATAAAAAACAATGCAATGGATGACAGCAAATCAAGTTTAGTCACTTTAGTGTCTCCTAAGCAGACCACCGTAGAATGTCCCCGATTATGGCGTGGGTCCCATATACAGCCTCTCATGCGATAACATTCAGAGTAAACAATTGGCCTATATTTCACCAACTTACAAGTGTTTATAGCTGACATAAGACGATAATACTTTAAAGAAGCCCTGTATCATCACAAGGACACACGACTGTCCTCAATCTGTATTATTTCCACTTTTCTTTAGTGTCCACAAAATGCTTGAATATACTAACGTCTCTCTTTCTACCTTTGACAATGACAGTCTTGGATGAATTGAACGGTCAGTATTTACGTTCCCAACAGTTCGAAAACGTTTCAAAATCCCTGATAGTGGGAATGAACACGGAACTGAAAACACCATCCATTGGGTAACATATAGCACAGGCGGCCAAATCAACTGATCGACCCACTACAAGTGTGTTTCATCTTCTCAAGATGTACAGTGATTAGAATCAAGTGTCGCTGCAACCAAAGCTACGGACACTCTAAAACATTTAAAAGTACACAATATTGACAATAGCTCTTGCAAGTTGAATTAAAAAAAATGTTCAAGGGAAGTATACCATTATGGGCATAAGCGCGGTTCAAAAGCTGACTAGAATGAACTGGCAAAAAATTCAGCCTAAGAAAGCTTGTACAATAAACCTGGCGATCTGAAGATGGTCTTCGGTAATGCAGATGTTCCAGAAAAGTTCTTAAACAAGTCAATTCTCACAAATACAAGATCTCAGTTTGACCAGGCAACATGAACACAGGAAAGATTTATATGTAGCCATTTGATAAAGATTAAGGTGAAAAAAAACAGGTTTTTTCTGAAGGGCATGCATTTTCGGTTTCATTTCTATAAACATTTTGAAGACCTTTAATTGACTGGTGAGTTTGACACTCCTACTCATAGCTACAAATAACTGCAGTAACGTGTTTTTTTACACTTAACCCCTGCTTGCATTTAATATGAGGCGACTTAAGTGACCTTCCCTGCACGATCGGAAGTTTTTATATATGGCTAGTTTTTGATACACATGTATGTATGGTTTTAATAATGACCGTTAATCTATAATCCATGTATTTTATTGTACTGAATGATGTTGTTTTGATGATTTAATCCAATTAACAAATAATTACGATCGCGTATTGATGATATATCTTTGTCGTCGTGACTTATTGATAAACGTGCTCGTAGGGCAGTTGTATGAGCCAAACTTCCATTCCGTGCTCATATGTATGCTTACTATAATTTTACGTCATTACCTTACCTTTAGATCCGATAACACTGCACACTAAAGGTACAACAAAAAACTGTCTACGCAATCGCACACGTTAGCTGTTAACGTCCTTGTAAAGATATCTAGAAAGAAAGAAAAAAAAAGCCGGATATCTCCTTGAGGTCTCGTTGCGAACGTGAGCTGTGTATCCATAAGGACAGCGAGTCTGTCAGTACAGTTCGGTCGTACGTGTGGACACACTAGACATTGTTTTAACACCGTATAATGGGTGAGTACGTGTAGTATTAACATGTAGACTTATCTAAAAATGTAAGTGAAAATCAGCCTCGTGTTGACAGTTTAGTAAGATTTGTGTTTAGAATTTTAACTTTAAGAGTATATTGTATTTATTGATTTTGAACTAATGCATAAAATGTATTTTAGAAAATGATATATTTTTAAAGAATATGCAAGAAGCCAGAAGCCTTTGTTACAAATTAAGAATAATGAAATATAACCATGTGAAGAAGGGGTTTTAAAGTTTCTTTGCGAGTAACAGACTACTTTTGCGATTTGTTCATTTTTTTTTCAGTGAGGTTGCACATTTTTTTTTTATAAAAATATGAGCTTTAAAACAGGATAAAACAGACCCTCCTTCGATGATATATGTTTGAAACGTTTGCAATCTTCAAATGATTAAATCAGTTCATAAGAAAAAGGCCAATAGAACAAATGGCTTCCCAAACTACCCATTCAAGCTTGAGCGCCTAAAGCATAAGGACCCCCATGCTCCAACATTTTGGAAAAATAACCTTCAATCGAAACACGTGCGTTACATTTCTTTTAAGTAATCACATTCATCATCATGCAAAGTTTTATTCCAAATCAACTTAAGGACAAAGAGGATATTATATAAATATGACATTCAAAAGCAGGTGACAGTGAATTTTGTCAACCCAAATATTCAATGTTATTCTCGTTGTTCGCCTCGGGTGACAATGGATTTTTGAGGGTTGACAATATTCACTGTCACCTGCTCATTAATGTCATATCTATTTTGTTACACCAAAAGTCTTTGTAGCTCAGAAACGGCAGCAAACCTCGATAATGACATCTTGTTCGTTGAAAGTCTGCTGTTTACAATCGATATCGCACCGGCGCTTGTTCAAATTGGCTGTTGCCGTCAAACGTTCTTGTGACCATCACGGTGGGGAAACGAAGCGGTGAACGCACATTTTTCGCGCATGTGATATTTTTTCTCTGTCTCATTGCAATATCACCCGCGCCCCTTGAAACCAATGTATTTCGGAGGGTGACAGAGATTTTTGTTTTATTTTCTCCCAACCAATCAAATAGCTAGAAATTCACTTGAGCTGTTACAAATATAATTGTAATTGTAATTGTATAATTGTGATGTCAGCTGAGCCTCGGTTGCTGTTCTACTTAATGACATGACCTCGCCGATATGAACGGAAAATTTTGAATTTAAGGGGAAAACTACAGTCCTAATTGATGTTCTTGCATAGAGACGAAAGTATAAGCGATAAACTGCATCGATGTAGAAAAACACTGGTATAACTGAGACACTGGTGGTGGTTTTACCAGCATTATTCATTGACAAGCATACGAAACACAAAACCCCGACTGTGACGTCAATTAGGGCTGCGGTGGCCAAATCGATTAGCCCTCCACCACTGGATCGCGGGTTTGGGGCCTACGTTGGACAGTCGCCAGGTACTGACCGTAGGTCGGTGGTTTTTCTCCGGGGACTCCAGCTTTCCTCCACCACAAAAACCTGGCACGTCCTTAAATGACCTTAGTTGTTAATAGGATGTAAAACACAAACAAACCAAACCAAAAACTGTGACTCATACGGGGGATGACCTTCTTTTCCGAAGGTGAATTGAAGTCATCACGTTCGCCGTAGAGTTGGTAGTAAGGTTCTGTAGCTTTTATTGTCCTACTCTAACAATACTACAGTGTTAAGTTAATATCATAATGGATTCTATTTTACTGTTTAAACTGCTACAAATCGACATAAACGAAAACAATATTGTTGATTCACGTTCAACATAAAGGAAAGTCAAAGTTCATCGTGAAAAGAGTCACGTACATGTTCCGAACTCGCATGTATGTATCCGCAAAAGCTGTTATCAGACAAAATAGGAAGATTTATTTTGTTTGCAGGTGTTTAAAATGAAAGGTCGACATTGAATATCCTTATTATTTCTTAATAGATACAAATTGAATAATAAGCGTAAAAACATGAAAGTCCCAAACCAACTACACAACATGCTGATAAAACCAGGGTTCCCATGAGAAAAGTGAATATAATACAAAACACGTGTATCGCACTATATTGTTCGTCCTCTGGCATTTTGAGTAAAACGCCTATTTTCCATCGGTTCATATTACACCACACATTCGTTATCAGCCGCGTACAGGTTTAGTGCAAACATACACACAAGTACACCTAAACTGTAATTCGGTCAGTAGCACACTGCAGTATGTGCGTCTGTCACGGCGTCAACTAGATGTTTTAGATCAATATCCTATTCACAACCATAGAAAAGGGCCTGAATAGAAAGGATTGACAGATACACTCATGATAATTGTTTAACTAGGTAAAAGTAGCCTTTGGTTGAACAGTTATCCCCGTAATTAAAATCAACTATGATATTATTTCGGTATCTGATTTTTGAGTCTGTATGTATTGACTATACATTGAACATATTGAATATAATGTCGTTTGTAGGCTGTGTATAAATGGAAAAGGAGGTGAAATCACCTACCGTACTGGGAGTATGTGATTTAGTCTTCTGTTTGGTGTTGGGTTGTACGTCTGTTACATTGTAACAGCTGAGCTAGGTCACTTAAGGACGTAAATTCGTGTGTGTAATGCATACTGATAAGGGGTTAACCAGATGGTGCAATGACATGAAATGCTGAAGGTCATTCGTAAAGCATAAATATAAATGGGTTGAGATAATAGGAATTACAGATAATTAGCGAGCATCTACTATTAAGTTACTTCAATGTGGCATCTAAGTTACGCTTGTTACCTTTACTTCTGTATGGTATTAATCAATTAATCAATAAGTTTTTGTTGTATTCATTTGTGACCTGCTGTATCTCACTGCATGATCGCATGAGGTGATTCATGTTTTCATTGGCCTTTCCTGAATTCGGGGTAATCATCTGTCTCTTCTACTTATTGGAGAAGCCAGAAATGATATTCTTGCCTTCTTCTTACTTTCTTTTGAAACCATGTGCATGTTTCGGGGACCTGCTGTCTTTGGTTTGGTTTAATTTGGTTTAACGTCCTATTAACAGCTAAGGTCATTTAGGGACGTGCCTCCATGTGTGTAGTGTATGCGTGTTTGCGTGTGTGCATGCAGGAGACAGGGTATGTTGGTGTGCTTTCCTCCTTGTGATAGCGCGGATCTGATGCCGACTTTATAGTGCTATCTCACTGCAATACCATGACGAATGCAACCAGCACAGCTTTCCGGCCGGTCACATTATACTCACAACGGGTGAATCAGTTGTTGCCATAACCTTAAATGCTGAACGTTAAGCAGTGAATAACTAACTTTTTAAGGACTTTGGTGTGTCCCAGCTTGGGGACAGAACCCATTGCCTTTCTCACCAGGGCGATCGCTCAACATTAAAGCCGAAAGTGAGGTGTTGCCAAGCAAGGCGCTAGGGAATAAAAGGTGATTAGAAGTAGAAAAAAAAGATAAAGATCCACAATATTGCAATAGGTGCTGCAGATTTATTTTGGTCGCTATTGTGTCCCCAAATAGAGGACACAAAAGCAAATCCCGAATTCTGCAGGGAATTGCTTCATTAGTCGCCTCCTACGAAACAATACAGTGGGTAACAGCAGGTGTATTCTTTTCCCGATCCCCCATTGTGACCCACTGCATATCGCAATGGGTGAATAATGTGGGTATACCCCTACATAAATTAAATGGTTTATTCTGTGTCTTCTTCTGCTTTAAGAACATTGGTAAAACCAACAACAGACGTCCTGTATCCAGCTGCAAATGTATCGTATCAGGCGATTAGTGTGCCCCCCCACCCCCTTACAGAATCGGGGGTTCTATTTAGGTGCCATTGTTATAAAGATGTTTCACGATTGTTCTTAAACCGATGTTATGACTATATTTGATAAATTTCAGTCACAGGAAAGGCACGTTCTTTGGGCTGTTCCTCGAGTCGAACATTCCAGTGACTCTTGGTCTCTTTGTTCCTTTAGTGTAGTTTTTTTTGAGACAGAAAGACGTGAAACCGTGTAGGGGAAAAGCTGCTTCAGAAGCGCTTGCATAGGCAATATGATTGTCCGAGAAAAAAATATGATTTGCATTAAAGGAAAACGAGGTGAACCGCGTTACTTATTTTCCTGAAATGCAAATCATATTATTTTCTTGTAATGTAGTGAGCATTCATATTGCCTATGAACCGCATCTGAAAGCAGGTTCACGCTTAAACAACCCTTCTGCAAGGACCTAGAAGTAAATTAACATTGTTTCCTGAGGATCTTGTACCGTGTGTATGCTGCAAGTTCGTCTAAGTGTCTTTCTATTTAAAATTGTACTTATATAACTGTGTTCTTAGTTTGCGCGTATGTGATGCTATACACTTCCGGGAAAATGTTTAGCGAATAGAGATTGTTTGTCCTTTTGCTATTCGTCTCAAATTGTTGAACATATTGCGGGAAAACATACTTCCTGCACTTTGTATGTAATATGGATATATGCCAGGTACAACAATGTACTTGCTATTTCAGCCAGAAAAACACTTTCGAAAAAAAAAGTGAGGTAATCAATCTATTTAACATGCCACATTTAATTTCGCTTATTCAAACGCTACTGTGAATATAACTCTATATTGGGAGTATTTGAAATGAACTTATAGTTTCTAGTATAGCCAGTGAATGCAGCGTAATCAGATGACAGTTTCAACTTCTTCTCTTTGATTCCTATCATAAGCCAGTAGAATCGTTTGAATGACTTGATGATTAAGCATATATCGAGGATCCTCTAGACACGGAGGCAATTATTAGCAAGCTACTTATCAGTGATTTCTGTGAGGTCGAACTACTGATACAATGAATATCCCATACACGATTCATGACATGGTCAGCCAACACTATTCTTTAATTATAAGAGGGCGGCTGGGGAAGTCGGCCAATATAGAATTAAAGCTTTGTCTTGATATCTTGACTCTCCCTGGAGCTTCTGCTGAAGACAATTGTGACTTGATTTACCCAATTGTCGCCTGAAA